TAAGTGAAGTTATTATCACTTCACTCCTAAATACCTCAGTATTCATTTCCTAAGAAAAGTGATATTCTCTTTCACATTGTAATACCATGAACACATCTAAAAAAATTAACAGTAGTTCTGTGGTATCTAATACCCTGTTTATAGTCAAGTTTTCTCAGTTGTCCCCAAGCTATCTATTATAGCTGTTTCTTCCCCCGAACCAGGATGCATGCAGTTTTATGTCACAAGATTATCTTTTAATGAGAATGGAATCCCTCCCACTGCTTTATCTTGTTTAATAGTTTTTTGAAGTGTCCAGACTAGTTGTTTTATAGAAGGTTCCACCCTCTGAGTTTGTCAGATTATTTCCTCCTGGGTGGCCTAACCTGTTCTCAGAGTGTCCTTAATCACCACAGAAGCTGGGGACAGCCACAGTGGTAGTCGAGGAAGTGGACAGACCTCCCCTCCCAGTCCTTGACTTCTGCCTCTTCTCCTGGGACTGCCCACCCTCCCCAGGCCAGGGCCATGGCAGCGTCAGCCCACACGTGGCCAAAGCAGGCTGTAGCCCCTAGTTCTATGACCTTGGGCAAGTCACTTAGCCCTTCAAGCCTCATTTTCCTCATCTCCAGCAAGGGGATAATAATAGTATGTGCCTCGTGGGGGAATGGATTCTCTGGCCTTGAGCATGTTCAGTCAAGGCTCAGGCCCAGCCCAAGGGATATGCCTGGGGATGGCAGCTGAGGTCAGCCTTGGAGAAGAGTCAGGCAGTGTGATCAGGTTTCAGGGACTCAAGGGGCAATTAGAATGGGCTTTGCAGAGGAAGCAGAGCTGAGGAAAGAGGAAGTCTGTGGTGCCATTATGGGAGCCGGTGGGTGTCAGAGGCCCAGGGGATGTCCATGGGGAGGTGTCCAGGAGACCAAGGGATGCCAGGGGCTCAGAGGAGAGGCCAGGGCTGGGACAGAGTTAGGGGCTTCATCGCGGGAATGGGTGAGACAGCCCTGGGGTGGGGAGGGCAGTGCAGTGAGTTAAAAGTGAGGACTCTGGAGCCAGATGCCTGAGTTCTTGTCTCAGTTCTGCCGCATCCTGGTTGAGTGGCTTTGAGCAGGTGACTTGGGCTCTCTGTGCCTTGGTATAAAAAGGTCGTTGGGAGTGCCAGATGTGTTAAAACCTCATGAGTGTTTAGCAGAGAGCCCAGCGTGGGGTAAATATCATACAGGCGTTGGCTGTTATTCCTAAGAGGGCCCCAGGCAGAGACTGCTGGGGATACAGAGAGAGGAAGGCTTGGGGGATGCCTCCAGAGAAGGGGTCATTTAAATAAAGCAGACGCTAGGCCAGGCTTCTGCATCCTGTGACCTCCTCTCTCCCCTACCCCAGATGACTTCCGGATCTTCTGTGGGGATCTGGGCAATGAGGTGAACGATGACATCTTGGCACGCGCCTTCAGCCGCTTCCCATCCTTCCTTAAGGCTAAGGTGATCCGCGATAAGCGCACGGGCAAGACCAAGGGCTACGGCTTCGTCAGCTTTAAGGATCCCAGCGACTATGTGCGCGCCATGCGTGAGATGAATGGTGGGTGAGGCCTCCCCTGGGAACAGTGGCTGTGGCGGGCATCTGGCCTAAGCCTGACCCCAAGCCTGATTTGAACCTTCCATTCCCACAGGGAAGTATGTGGGCTCACGCCCCATCAAGCTGCGCAAGAGCATGTGGAAGGATCGGAACCTGGATGTGGTGCGCAAGAAACAGAAGGAGAAGAAGAAACTGGGCCTGAGATAGGGTCTGTGGCCGGGCACCCGCTCCCACCCGGCCGGGCGCTGGCTCCTCCCACCACAGTTCTCTTTGGAAAACCCTTAAATATCCACCCACCCACCCTCCCCAAAACCAGTTTCAATAAATTTACGTTCATTTCCATCCCCGGCTGGGCTTGGAAGCACTCTTTGGGGGAGCAGGGCTTGGCATGCCCCACCCGGGAATAGTGGGGAACCTCAAGAGTTTACCCGGACAAACATGCAGATGGGCATTTTCAGTCGCTACTGTGTGTCCATTATGTCTTCCTGAAACCTCTTAAGTGCACACTGCAGCCCATTCCACAGAGGAGGCAGTAGAGGCTTATGGCAGGGCCGAAGCCAAGCCAAAGCTCAGCCCCTTGGGCTTCTGACTCCAGCCTTGTTCTCAGCGTCAGGGTAGGGAGTCTCTGGGCCCTGCCCTTCTGGAGCTCGCAGCCTTCTAGGCTTTCATCCATTCAGCAAACTCTCCCCGAGAGCCTGGACAGTGCGGGAGACACAATGGTGACTGAATCAGTCCTGGGCCCCATTCCCTCGAGCTAACGGTCCAGTGGCAGAAGACAGGCCTGCTGCCAGACAGTGACAGCCCAGAGTGGTCAGGGTTGAGATGGGGGAGCCCAGGGTGCTGACCTGGGAGTCAGGGAGGGCTTCATGAAGGAACCAGCCACTTCTGAGACTGTCTCACTCTCTCCCCCAGTCTCTGCAGTTCTCCCCCTCTGAGTCTCGGAGACTGTTTCCACTTTCTTCACTCTGCCAAAACCCAGCCGACCTGTCTTGCTGTCTTTGTCTGGTCTCTGTGACTGTGCCTTTGTGAGTGTCCCTCTGGTTCTTCTCTCTAAGTGTCCATATCTCTCAGAGTCTGTGTTCTCTCTCTGCATCTGTGAGTCTCTCCCCCATTCTCTTCTTCTGCCTCCAGGCTTGTCTCTGCCTGTCTGAAGAAGTGTCCATACAGGACCTTGAATGCCAGACTGAGAGCTTAGACTACCCTGAAGGCAGCTGCAAGCCCTGAGAAGCTGAGACAAAATTCAGGCAGGGGACTGGCATCACAGATCTGCACCTTAGAGCCCTGAGACTCCCACGCTGTGGGCTGGAGGGCTAGAAGGAGGGTGGGGCAGGGAGCAGCCAGAGGAGGGAGATCGCATGGTTCCAGCAAGTTGTGGGGGGCGGGGGGGCGGGTTTCCCAGGTGCACAGCTGTCAGAGCCCAGGATTGGGAGAGGGCACGTGGCGGTGGGAGGGAAACAATGCCAAGGCCTCTCCCCAGGAGAGGTGTCAAATTTCCTGTGTTCCCATCTTCCTCTCCCTTACTGCCCCCTCTCTGACGTCACATTTTCCAGTCTGGATTGAGGGGTGAGGGCCTCCCTCCCTGGCAGGAAGTGCCCTTCAGCCCCCTGCCACCTGGTCTGGACCACCCAGCCCCAGAACCCTCAAACCCCAGCCCCCATCACTAGCCTTCCCTACTCCTAACTCTGTTCTACTCACTGCAACCATGCAGGCAAGGGAGGAGAGGGGAAAGAGAATGACTGCAGAAAGGAGGGTTTTAAATGTGTGCATTTAATTCCTCCTGAGGACAGGGAGAGGAAGCTTGATCGCAGGATTGAAAGACAGATGGACAGAGATGGAGGGGATGTAGCAAGCAGAAAGGGAGAGATGGGGCAGGAGGTAGACAGAGGAGAGATGAGAACTATGGATCAGAAGCAGTACAATGGGAAGGGACACGGGGGGAAAACCCAGAGAGAGAGATGGAGACAGACAAAGAAATTGGGAGGGAGGTGGGGAGGGGCTGAGACCTATCAGGAGAGACTGGGTGACAAGGCCTCCCTGGAGTCAGGCCTGGTGCAACAGAGACCCAGAGCCAGGGACACCAACCCAGGGCAGAGAGACATGGAGAGACAGACAGGAAAGAGGCCAGCTCCAGGGAGAGGAGGCCCCGGGCCTGGTAGGGCACAGCAGGTCAGGACTCCCTTCAGGCCCCTGGGTTAGATGGGTGGAGGGACTAGTGATGCCCCAGGGTTCTGTGGCTCCCAACGATGGGTCCAATCCCAGCACCAACACCCCACCCACTGCGTGTCACCCGGGGGGAGACTGTGGCTCTCCCTCTCGAGGCCCAGTTTCCCTTCTATAACATGGACACAAGAGCAGTGTCCACACCCCTATTCCTCCCACCCCCAGAATGGCAAGTGGTTAATGATCCAGCTGGGTGAGTATTGGAAAATGCCCATATTAAAGAGGTTATTTTTAATGGTAAATATTTGCTTATTAATATAGCAGGATGGGTACAAGCACAGGCTCTAAGCCAAGCTTCCTGGGTTTAGGGTTGCCAGATTTAAGAAATAACAAGATACCTAGTTAAATTTGAACTTCAGATAAACAACAAATAATTTTTTAGTATAAGTATGTCCCAAATATTGCATGTATGTATGTATATGTTGTATGTATACATGGGGGTTTTTTCTGAATCATTTGAAGCAAATTATATCACAACACTTCGCCCCTCAATATATCATAATACCATTATCTCTTCCAAGAAAATTAATTCTATATCTCATATTCAGTTTATACTCAAATTTCCCCATTTGTCCCAAACTATTATAGCATGGAAGGGTATGGACTCTGAGATGAAGAGAAGTGGGAGGAGGCCTGCCTCAATTTCCCCTTTCATAAAATGGGGCTAAGACCATGGCACAGTTGGTGGTATGCAATGAGCCTCAAGAAATGTTAGCTATTATTATTACTGTTGTTTATATTGTTGACGTTATTGTTATTATAATGGACACTCCTGGGGAGCAGCCTCAGAACGTCCTCCTCAAGGCCCTCCCCCCACCCTCCACCCCCCGCCCCCTTCCCCCCCCAAAGCGGGAGAACTCGACCTGGTCGGGGATCCCGGGTCGGCCTGCCCCCACCACATCCCCCGCAGTCCCCCTGCGGATCGTGACGTCGGCCGACCGGGGGTCTGGCCGGAAATCCCCCTTCCTGTTGCAGATAAGCCTGGCGCAGCCTAGCTGACCCCGGACCCTCCTCCCCCACCACCCCCCATGTCGCAGGATCAAGTCCCCAAGACGGAGAACTGTCCACCAAGCCCCCTGCCCCGCCCCCATCACTCCGTAAACACCCCTCTGTACCCCCGGTCTCGCCCAGCCCGCTGTTCCCCAAGCTCCTGTCCAAGTCCAAGCCACCCCTGCAGCAGGAACCTGCTACCGAGAGGCGGCGGCCATCCCGGGGTGGGGGCGCGGCTAGGCCCCGCCCCGGCCCCTGCAACTCGACCCCGGCTGCGACCCCCAGCTCTGACGTCTCGGAAAATTTCCCCCTGCCCAGGCCCCCGGGGGGGGGGGGGTGCATGGTATGAAATGGGGCTGAGACCCCCGGCTGGGGACAGAGGGACCCGCCAGAGGTGAGCTATGAACTGGGGACTGGAGGTCTGGGGGCCTGGACTCCTGGGTCTGAGGGAAGCAAGGGCTGGGGCCCAGACTTCAGGGTCCCTAAATGTCACCAGCTCACCCTTTGCCCTCCCCCCAACCCAGAACGTTCACAACGAGCATCCATGGACCTGTGGAACTGGGATGAAGCATCACCACAGGAAGTGCCCCGGGGGAGCAGGCTGTCGGGGCTGGGTAGGCTGCTGAGGCTGAGACAGTGGCGCGGGGAGGGCGCTCAGGTGGGGCCTCCGCTGACCCTGACCCGACCCTCACCTCCCGATTGCCTGCAGAAGGAGCGGAGCTGGGCTTCTATTTCCCTGAACCGGCGCTCCAAGGGGCCACGCTGACAGTGGAGACCTGCTGGAAAGGTGGCTGTGGGCTGGGACCTGTGAGAGCTGGGGAAGAAGGTGAGGGGCTGGGATCCCAGGTTTGAGGGAGGAAGGGGGCATGCCTGGACTCGTGGCGTTGAATGGGGACAGGGCTGCGGGCTTGAACTCTCGAGGTTGGAGGAGGAGGGGGCCCGGGTCCTGAGTCCTAGGTCTGAGTGAGTAGGAGCTGGGGGGAATAACTCTCAGTCCCAGGCAAATAAAAACTACTGGGTGAGCGGTTGAGGGGGGTCTCTAGTCATCGCTTACCCCCTTCCCTAAACTCAGTTACGTTCTTGTCGCTCGCAGGGCTCCCACAGCTGGACTGGGGCTCCGCATTACCGCACCCAGAAGCCCCATGGGGGGCGGGTGAGTGTGTGTGGAGAGGCGGGGGGACAGGAGGACTGGAGTATCCACCATAGCTAGAGGTTTGGACCCCTCAATCTCGAGGACGGGGGACGCCTGTGTCCTCAAGGTGGTATGGCCTAGATGCGGGAGCCCGGAGCCCCAGGTCCCAGGGGTGGGGCTCAGACTCCTAAAACCCCCAGGGGGGCCGGGGACCAGGACACCTGGGCTCCCCTCACTGGGGCTCCGTTCCTCCTCACAGAGCACGCCCCTCAGGCTCTTTCTTGGTCGGGAGATTGGACAGACCTGGCGCACACGGGCTCGGACCCTTGGAGCCGCGTCCCCCGGGCCGCGGGCCCCCCCCCTCCCGGCCTGGGCCCCACCCCTGTCGCTGGTTCGGAAGGGGCGGCGGGCCAAAACTGCAGCCCCCCGGCAGGAGGGGCCGGCTCGTGGTGGCGCGTCCAGGCCGCCGCCAGCTCCACCAGCTGGGACTGTTCTGTGGGCCCCGACGGCGCCGCCTCCTGGGGCCAGGGCCCCGGCGAGGAGCCGCGCGCCGACTACACCCTTTCGTGGGGCGGGCCTGCGGGCTCGGACCACACCACCTCCTGGGACTTGGGGCTGCACACGGATTGCACCACCGCTTCGAAGGGGTACCAGAGTTCACATCTCACCACTCCCTCCGAACCCAGCCAGCAGTCGGACCGCGCAACTTTGGCTTATTACCCCAAAACTAACCCCCGAGGTGAGAGGTCAGCGAGACTGTCCAAGAGAGCGAGGCCAGAGTCTAGTGAGGCGGGGCCTAGGCGCCTCAGGGGGCGGGACCCGGGAAGCTGGCGGGGAGGGGGCGGGGCTTAGATGCCTGAGCGCTGCAGAGAGGAGGAGGCGGTGGTCTTCACTACCGGGTCCAGAGGGAGGAGAGGACTAAGACTCTGGTGGTCTTCTAGGGAGTAAGAGACGAGGACCTAGGCTCCTGGATCAGGTGAAAGGAAAGAGATGGGGGTCTGGATGCCTGAGTCTCCAAGATGAGGCAGCCAAACTCCTCAATCTCCGGGATGAGGGTCCCGGATGCCTGGGTCCCTTATATGGAGGCATCTGGACTCCTGGGTCCCCACTAGGAAAGACCTGGACCTTCCTTGGACTTTCGAGGTGAGGGAGCCCGGAATCCTGGGTCATCGAAGCGACACGGTCTGGGGCCAGGAAGCCTGAGTGTTCACCTGCCTCCACCCCGTAGGTCCCATTCAGCTGTGGCAGTTCCTCCTGGAGCTGCTCCAAGACGGGGAGCGTAGCAGCTGCATCCGCTGGACGGGCAACAGCCGCGAGTTCCAGCTGTGCGACCCCAAAGAGGTGGGGCAGCTTCCCAGACCCGCAAAATCAGGCCCCAGTCTCCTCCGGTTCAACCTGGCCCCGCCCCCAGCCTCGCTCTCGTCTCAACCCGGCTCGGCGCGGCCTAAGGGGTGTCCAGACCAAACCTGAACCCTGTCCCCGCCCCGCCCCGCCCCGCCCCGCCATTGCCAGGGCCCGCCCCACCTCCCCCTCGGACTTAGCCCGGCCTCCGCCCTAGGTGGCGCGGCTGTGGGGCGAGCGCAAGAGGAAGCCGGGCATGAATTACGAGAAGCTGAGCCGAGGCCTGCGGTACTACTACCGCCGCGACATCGTGCGCAAGAGTGGGGGGCGCAAGTACACGTACCGCTTCGGTGGCCGCGTGCCCGGCCTAGCTTATCCCGACCGCCCGGGGGACGGACAGGGAGCAGCGACCCAATAAAAACATCCCGTCAAATCTCCGTGGCGCGTGCTGTCTGCATCCTTCCCACTGATACTGACTAGACCTGCTGGGGAGCCTGTGTGCACCATCACACCCACATCCCCCCGCCTGTGTGATCCCAAGACGCATTGTGACCAAGACAAACCCAGATCCTTAGGGGACCTGCTGTGTGCTCACTGTGTGATGGGACATGCAAAGGAATCAAACTCAGTCCCCACAGGGCCTACTGTGTGCCCGCCCTGTGCTGGGACTTGTAAAGGAATCAGATCCAATCACTAACTTGCGAGTTTACCTACTGTGTCCCCCTTGAAGAGAGAACTCAGTCTCCAAAAAGGGCTTACTGTGTGCCCTGCCAGTGCTAGGGACCATCAAAGAATTCGACCTAGTGCTTGTCCCCCAAAACCACCTATGATGGTTCCCCACTCCAAGCTGGGGACATAGAACTCAGACATAGACCCTGAGGAAAGCCTACCCCATTCTGGGTACCACTGAAACCCTAAAGATAGCCTACTGAGTGGACCTCCTGTGGGCGATGCTGGGGATTCAGCAGTGACCAAGAAAACTGGACCCTGCCTGCCCTTAGGAAGCTCACAGTCCAGTGGGGAGACAGACCCATCATCAGACAGGGACAGCCCAGAGAGGTCAGGTCTGGGATGGGGAAACTCCAGGGGGTTGAGGGAGCTCAAAACAAGAGACCTGACCTAGTCCTGGGCAGGGGTGGTCAGGGAAGGCTTCCTGGAGGAGTAAACAGCTGATCTGAGAAGTCAGGTAGGCAAAGAATGTTCCAGGCAAAAGAAACAGTATGAGCAAGGCCTGGAGGTAGATCTCACAGCACTGTTCAGTGAACTAAAATATCAGTGTGGTTGGAAAGGGGACCATGGGTCAGTTCACAAAGGATCTGTGCACCATGGTAAGGAGCCTGGACTTTGTCCAAAGGGCACAGAGGAGCCATGGAGGGGTTAAGCAGGGGAGGGATTTGGGCTTTAGGAAGATCTCATTGAAGGGGTTGAATGCAGGCATATAAACAAGTAGTTCCACAAATAATTACAATATTGATGAAGATAGAATGTGTAAGAGGCCCCTGACCCTGTTAAACCTGGACACAGCACCAACACAGTATGTGGGAAGCTTTGGAGGCCAGACCAAGAGGAGGGATAAAAACAGTTCTCTTGCACAGCTCCCTCTCCCAATCCTCAGAAGGCCCTTTATTCACACAAGAAATTCACTCATTCAACAAATATTTATGGAGCACCTCCTATGTGCCAGGCACTGTTCTAGGTGCTAGAGATACAAGGCTGAATAAGACAGACAAAAATCTCTCCTTTACAGTTTTCTATTACATTGGGGGAGACAAAAAAAGTAAACACAATAAAAGGAAGGACAGAGTATGTGAGAAGTAAGTGCTATGAAGAAATAAAGTGGGGAAGGGAGATAGACTGACAAGACGGCAATTTTAAATATTTGGTCTGAGAAGGACTCACCAAGAAGGTGACATTGGAGCAAGACCTGAAGGAGGTGAGGGAGGGAGCCAGCAGTGGGAAGAGTATTAGGCCAAGGGGACAGCAAGTGCAAAGGCCCTTAGGGGGAAGTCAGCCTGCATGTTTAAGGAACTGTGAGGAGGCCAGCGTGGCTGGAGCAGTGGCAGTAAGGAAAAGAGGGGTAGGAGATGAGGGTATAAAGGGGGCCAAACTGTTAGGTCGTTTGTAAGGACTTTGGCTTTAGACTAAACGAGTCAGCCCAGACACCAGGGGAAGGTTCTAGACCAAGGAAGGGAAGTGATCTGAGACATTAACAGGGTCCCTCTGGATGAGTGGACAGATTGTGGAGGGCAGCAGGGAAGCCAGGAGGCCAGGGAGTGGGCTACTGCAGTAGTCCAGGCTGGAGGTGCTGGTGGCTTGAACCAGATGTGGCAGAAGATTCTGGATATATTTTTTAAGGCAGAGCCAACAGGATTTCTTGATAGATCAGCTCTGGGGTGTGAGAGAAAGATAGGATTCAAGGACAACTGTGTGACCAGAAGGTTAGAGTCGCCATTTCCCGAGATGGACCAATTTCGGCCAGACCCTCCACAGAGCTAAGCTTTAACTCTTAACCCCTCCTCTCCGTGATGCAGGACTTTGGTTTCTGAGCCCTCAGCCGCCCAATTCTTTGCCCATTTGTGCCGTCTGAGGTTTGGGGAAAGATGGTAAGGAGCAGGGAGGTGGGGTCTGGGCAGTCCTCATAACAGAAGAAACGATCCTGGGAGAAAGACTGGTTCATTTTCAATCCCTTAAGAATTGACCCCGTAACAATCATAATGAGGATAGGGAGTTTTGTGTTTTGTTCAGAGATGCATCCCCAACCCTTATAGAAGTACCTGGCATAGGGTAAAGCGTTCAACAATAGTTCTTGCATGAATTTAGTTCTTCCGCTTGGATATTTTCCCCACCCCATTCTCCAGCCAGCCCCAGGACCCAGAACTCCGTCTCCAAATAACGACAGGAAAGCGACGAGAACCGGTAACCAGGAGGCGTCTCAAGCGCTACCTCGGAACCCTTAGAAGTGCCCCTCAAGCTCACGATTGGGCCGGGAGTGATGATGAACAGGCATTCAGCCCAATAGAAGGTCGGAGTTTGCAGGGATGGGCGTGGCCTGCATGGCTTCGGGGACCGCCTCCCCGTGGGCGCTCTAGCCGCGAGGAAGACTCCCCTGTGCTCCTCCTCTCGCGTTTCCGGCCGGTCTGAATTCCGCTTCCGGCCCGACGCTGGCGTCTTTGCTGAGGGTCACATTGAGCGGGGAGCTGGTTCAGGGGCGTCTTAGGTGAGTGTGGAGGGCTCGGGAACCCGCAGCCGCATTCTGGGGGACTGAGGAACTGGAGCCTAGCTTCCCCGAGAACGAGGTGGGGTTTCCGGGCGGCGGCGGCCGGCCTCCCGGGGCCCTGGGGTCCTGTTCTGTTAGTCACAGCCGACGATTATTTAGTTCTTCCTGAGTGCCAGGTAACATCCCAAGCGCCTTATATTAGTTCCTTTAATCCTCCGTCCAGCCCTGTGAGGTGGGGCCTGTGGTTATCCCCTTTTTGGCAGTGAGGCATCTGCGGCTGAGACATACTAAGCTGCTTAGCCGGCGACCAGGGTCTGAACTCGATAGTGTGGACGCGGTGCTCTTCATCACCGGGCGCAGGGGTGCTCCCCGCGGCCTGCCTGGGCCCAGCCCAGCTCCCTGGGGTCAGGCCACTCTTCCCCCTGGGACATCGGAGGGGCCGCAGCGTCCTCCCAGACCCACCCTCACTCCCAGGTAGCGGGTCGACATCTCGCCCAAAACCACTCGACCGCGTCTGTGTCCCAGCGGCCAGTGTTCTGCATCCCCGTCCCCACGTCCCCCGCCCCCCGAAAGACTCTTCTCTGGGTCCCCAGATCCCCACCACTAGTTTGGATCCCTTGAACTTAATTAACACTGGCCTGCTCACTTCTATGTAATCCCACGACTCCTCGAATTCTCTGGAATAGAGGCAGTTCCTCTCGGATTCCCTGGCAAAAACTGTGTCACCTCATAAGAGACCTTATAGCAGAAGTGTTTAACCCCGGGTCCACAGAATGGATGGAATTCAAGGGGTGCTAGTACTTGAATGGGGGAAAAATGACATCTGTGTTTTTACAAGTCTCTAGTTGAAATGTAGCGTTTCCTTCCGTTTGGAATGGAGGCAGCCACTTGAGTGGTATTAGCATCGTCTGTGACTTGGTCAGCAGTCAAAATCACAGGTCATCTTACATCACATTATGGTTGCAGATGTCACAAAGTATTGTTTTCACTCATGATTATTTCAAAATTATGGTAGTTAATCCTCAGCTACATATTAACTGGTTGTCTCTGTGATCCTATGCAATTTTTTAATGCACTTAAGCATTTTCTGAGAAAGGGTTCCTTAGACCCCTGAGGAGTTCATGGCACCAAAGAGATTAAGAACCTCCAAAGTGTAGGTATGTCACTGATTGAGTGTGGCCCCACCACTGGTATGCATATGACCTTGGGAAGTCACTTAGACACCCCGTCCCTTGTCTGTGAAACAGAGATAGTAATAGTCCCTGCCTTTTAGAGTGGCCGTAGGAGTAGAGTGTGTACAGCAGTGCCTGGCCTGGAGTAAGCACTCTGTGAACGTTAGCTAGTGTTATTTGGGGACAAATAAGGCCTGATTTTACCGCCAACCCTGCTGTGACTTCTACACTTAGTATCCACTCCTTTGCCTCCAGGAGTCAGCACCATGGCAGAAGACATTAAGACCAAAATCAAGAACTACCAGACTGCCCCTTTTGACAGCCGCTTCCCCAACCAGAACCAGACCAGGAACTGCTGGCAGAACTACCTGGGTAAGCAGAGCATGGGGGTGGGGGGGATGCAGACCTTCCCCTGGTCCCACACCTCAAGTCACTCACCTCTTGCCTCCTCCTAGGGGACCTATGCATCCCAGGCCTCTTCTCTTTTGTTCTGGACATCCCACCTTGCAGGGCCCATGCCCCTCATCACCAGCTGTATTCAAGATCTGGGCCAGGGTCACAAACTTTGATTCCTATGATGATTGTTTTTTGAAGATTTATTTGTGTGTGTGTAAAGTATAACACATACAAGAAATACATAAAATGTAATGTACAGCTAAATGAGTAATTCTAAAATGATTCCCCAGTGTAACTATAACCTGGATAGAAAACTATGTACTGCCAGCGCTCTGAGCTCCCCTGCCCGCTGCACGCCCTTTCGTGGACACAGCACCCGACTCTCCCCACACCCGACTGAGGGCGGTCACATTTTGGTTTTATCACCACTTTTAGGTTGCCACTTTGTGAGCATTATAGCTACTGTACATATTCTCTTGTGTTTGGGTTTCTTCATTTGACAGTTTTGCGGATTCGTCCATGCTGTGGCGTGTAGTGTGCTCATTTTCCTCGCTGTACAGTTTCTCAGTTTATTCATGGACACTTGCATCGTTTCCAGTTTGGGGCTCTTATGAATGCTGCTGCTGTAAACATCCTTATAAATGTAATTTGA